AATCTTCGTTTAGTATTTTTAACTTCGTGCTAATAAATAAAGTCAAAAAAACGTCTCATAATTTTTCATCTTTTAAATACCTACCAAAATTAGGTACTACAATACAAATATTTAAGTCCGGCCCAGACCATCTCCCTACTCCTTCCACCCAGTTTTTCGGTTTTGGCAAAATTTGCGCAGCGACAAATGCTTCCTATGTTATCTCTACCCTTTCTAACCTCTTTGGGTCTACTTAATTATCCCAAGCAGAAAGGTGTACAAAGCCATTTATGGCTTATATGATTTTTTTTAGTTACACCCCCAATTGCACCCCCTCAGACAGCTCGACACACTCCAGCATGATATCAGGGCTGAAGAAAATAACAAACTACACAACATATTCTTAAGCAGAAAGGTGTACAACGCCATTTGTGGCTTCTATGATTTTTTTTAAATTTCACCCTTAATTGCACCCCCTCAGAAGGCTCGACAAACTCCAGCATAGTATCAGGGATGAAGAAAAGAGGCAACTACATAACATATCCCAAGCAGAAAGGTGTATAACGCCATTTGTGGCTTCTATGATTTTTTTAAATTTCACTCTTAATTGCACCCCCTCAGACGGCTCGAGAAACTCCAGCATGGTATTAGGGATGAAAAAAATAGCAAACTACATAACATATCCCAAGCAGAAAGGTGTTCAAATCCATTTGTGGCTTCTATGATTTTTTTTTATATTTCACCCCCAATTGCACCCCCTCAAACGGCTCGACAAACTCCAGTATGGTATCAGGGATGAAGAAAAGAGCAAACTACATAACACATCCCAAGCAGAAAGGTGTACAATTCCATTTGTGGCATCTATGATTTTCCCCCAATTGCACCCCCTCAGACGGAGCAAAAGTTAATTGCGGGTATGCTTGTTATGTATTGAAACCTCCCCAATTGAAATCTGCAAATGAAAAGCTTCTACATGTCATTTGAACCAAGTTATATGACTATTAAAATGGAGTTGTATTTTTCTCAGTGTACATTTGTGGATGTGGATAACTTCACACCACCATCTCTTGAAATATAAGTTTTATAAAAAATTGCTATTTTAAATAAGGTGCTTTGCTCGGTAGTTTATTTTTTTTTTTTTTAACAACTATGCAACAATTTTAGACTTCTGAAATATCACAAAACTTTTAGAAAAAAATTGCCTATAAATATGATTTAGAGAAAAACGGGGGTGCTTTGTTAGATTCGTTCGAAGCTATCGGAGCACCTTGGTTTTTGTAAAAAAACGAGGAGCATAACATTTTTGAATAAGGTATAAAATGGCCTTAAAATAGCCTAAAAATATGGCTTCAACTTAAAATTCCTTAGGTGTGCTCTGCTGCTGCCAAAATGATGTATTTGAGTTTTGACTCACCATATTATATATATTTAAATAAGGAAAAAGATCCAACTGAAATGTGACCAAGATGTAAAATAAAGTAAACATTTATATGTATAGATTTGATTTAAATTGAACTAAAACCAAACAAAATAGTGGTCGACATCGAACAAATTTTACAATAAACAAATTGGTTTTCAATTATTTCTTTTGCAGTAGGGTCATGGCACTACTTATGGCCACTGCCCTACTAATGGCCACTTCTTGCTTTAAGATCTAAAAATAAACGTTTCGCCACAATATAAACAAAAATGTTGGTTAGAGGAGGTAAAAGAGCATGTGGTAACATGATTGGGCAAGTATGCAACGATTAAACCAAGTCTATTGGAAATCAGTAAAATAGATAGTTAGTATGTGTAATACATGCAAGCATTACTTGTTGTTTTGACTAAGAATTTGTCTGTAAACATCGGAACAAAAATCAGATTTATTAAGGATACTTTTGAACATTTGCCATTCCAGAGGTAACTAGATGTTAATGCAAATGTATTTTGTTTTCAACATATATTTTTAAGCTATTGCATAGCTTTTATCGCGGGCTTTGAGCGCGGCGACCGAATCAAGAAATTCCGTAACGAAAATAAACCTAACACCCCCCACTCCGACCGGCACAGCGGTGCGGCGTTGAAAGACGAGGAAGGTTTTATCCGACCCTATTCGTATTAGTATGAAGCGGAGTTAAATATACGTCTGCGGACTAGAACGTTTATGCAATACAAGAACTAGAAGAGCTTTCTCTGGCTTCTAATAAATTGGTATCACAAATGTTCCCGGCTGGCGTAAATATTAGATATTAATTTTTTTTTGCAAGATTTATAAAATATTAATTTTTATTTTATCAATGTTAACTATTTCATTATTAAGCGATTGCATAGATTTTATCGCGGGCTTTGAGCGCGGCGAGCGAATCAAGAAATTCCGTAACGAAAATAAACCTAACACCCTCGAAAAACCGAAAAATCAAAAATTGAAAAAGAAATTTCGTAACGAAAATAAAACTAACACCCCCCACTCCGACCGGCACAGCGATGCGGCGTTGAAAGCCGTGCATCGTCTAACGTCGTTTCAGTTCGGCAGACTTCGGCACGGTGTTTGTGTGCGTGCGACTAGACGTATGCGTGTGGACTAGCTGCTAACTGCTCATAACTGATTCTATCTCTTTTAGACACAATTTCGGAAAAATTGAATTTGAAAATGAATAATGATCCAGAAGAATCCACAACAAAATATGGGACCACCATTGACGCGGTATTTTCTAGATATTTAGACTTATGTTTCTTATTTCAGTTACCATAAACCTATAGTTTCAATGATAAAAATTCCTGAATAACCTACATGTATTGTAAGATAATAAAAATATTTTAAACAATATTAACTTCTCATTTATTCAATAAAAGAAAAAAAAAATGTTTTCTTATCGGTCACCACGCTCAAAAAGTGTAACTTGAATTAATATCAAAGAAAAAAAAAATACTGCATAAATAAAATAAATAAATAATTATAATTGCAGAAGTTGATAAAAAATGCAATAGCTTTACCGCGGCAGTCTCCGAGTGCCACATTAGTAATGACTAAAAATTAAGAATTAGTTAGTTATGGTCATATGAGTATTTTTCAAGATATCCGATTCGTTAAAAAACAAAAAACTCGCTTTGTTTTTTGAAATACCGCTTTTTGGCTTAGGAAGGCGGTATATTGCAAATGAGATTTTTACTGTTCCCATATCTGATGTTTTAGGACTGTTAACTGAGCATTCTCTAGTAGAACAAGGTTGAAAATTTGTTATAACATTTTTAGAAAGTGTTAATGTTCATGAAAAATAAATTTCATATGTTATCAAACTTTTTAATTTTGGGTACCCTATTCTAAATCATTGATAAGAACATACATGTAAATTAAAATATAAACATGCACTTAAATTAATATTTAAAAATGCAACTTAAAAATTAGTGGCCATAAGTAAAGAACTAGTGGCGGACTGATGGCCGAAAGTAAAGAATTTCTTCCACTTTTATAAAAATAATGTAAAAAAGAATTACATGCTTATAACAAAATAGATACATATACTACTGAAAACCACATACTTCAACCTATCAAATGGTATTTTTATTTATTTTTTTCTGTTACAATATTATTGAAAAATAGACCCCACAAAAGAATTTTTGCCTTAAGGTGGCAATAAGTAGTGCCATGACCCTATACAGGTCATTAAAATCAATACTATTTTCATATAAAAGTGGTTATAGCCTATGAAATACTCTGTCTAAGTAATCCCATGTTATTTGGTAGATTTATAATGGGAAAAATGAGGGCAATTCAAATATAAAATAAAATACAGGATATCCCATTAAAAAACATAACTTTGATGTATTACTTTCCTTGAGAACCCCTATATCATTAAAATAATTTTTAAATAATTGACTTTTCTGATATATGGACATCTCTCTATGAAAACAGCTTTAAAAAGAAATTTTGGCTCTACAGACCGAGGCGCGTTAACGGTGGTCCACCCTCTATAAAACTCGAGAACAAAAAATTTACTTATTTTTTAAGTGTGTCATTAATATTTTGCATATTTAATTTTTTGAAACAAAAAATGCTCCGCCAGCCAAATACCTAAGTAAAGTCCGAAACAATAAATAAATACCTATTTACTTATGGGGTAAAATTACGGGACCGGCCAACTGCAGTTTAGACATAACTTACCAAGGGAACCTCATACAAATATTTTGATATTACCAGCAAAAATATGGCTCATTTTTGCCAGTGTTAATTTTAATAAAAATTTTGGGTTTTAATGCTTTCAAGTTCTATTTTATAAGGATTAAAAATAGCTATATTAATATTAAGGTATGGCTCGCTCCAATCAACTATATAGGTACCTACCTACCTGCTAATCACATTTTTAAAATTTTTATTATGATACAATTGATGTCCCAAGGATGAGTGCTTAAATGTAAACAAAACAATATTTTTAAAAGCAAGGTATCATTAAGAGTGTGCAAAGTACAAAGTGCAATTCTCTGAATCTGCGTTCTCACGTGTCAAAATTGTTATCTAAAGCAAATCAACAAAATAGAACAACATAACAAGCAAGAAGCAACCAACGAAACTGAGGGTCAGAGTAATTACTTAGGTACTAAAGTGTTTTAAGTTTAAAAGTAACAAAAGCTAAAACATTTTAATTTGTTTTCAACGTAGGCGTTTCCATTTCGAATCATTCAATATTATGTCTGAAGCACGTTATAATACAAAACTATTTAAAGAAAGGTACTTTAAAACAAATTAGTGTATCTATTTATGTAGTTAGGTATTTCCAAAATCAAATTAAGGTTAGGTACCAATTCGGAATTACCAAAAGGCAATTTGGCAAATGACCTATTTATTTTAGTAATGTATTGTAGGCATTACATTATCAAAATGTTTAAAACAAAAATAAACCAAGCAATTTGTATGGATACTTTTAGTTATTTTACACACATCACACATGGAAATATATTTTGGGGTCATAAAGCAGGCACCTCTATAACTGTAAAAGTATGTCGCAATTAAATAATAGGAAAAACGTTATTTTATAACTTACCTGTGAATTTATACGATCGAATAAATATATTATAAATGGTCCTTTGAATCAGTCCGAAAGTTAAGTCAAAAATATCACTATCAACAAATTTTAAAAAATCACTTTTATTTCAGAAATGCCACATTTCTTTTATCAAATATTTGAAGAATAATTACCACGTCGAACATAAATAGATATAAGGATCTAATTATTAAATAATCGATCCGAAAATGTGTATCTAGATATCTACAAACCCAAAATAAACAATGCAATAACCAATAACAGATTAAATTGCCACACAAGCACCTTTCTCCGTTTTCGAAACTCGCAATCTCCGGCAAACGTCAACACTCGTCTATCGAGTATCGCTTCGTCTTTCTCCAAATCCCAAACAAATATTTCTACATTTTCTACCTCCAGTAGGTACCTCGTGCTTCGTACAAAATAAAATGCGCAGTGTCTAAAAACACGACGGTGGGTTGTTTAAATCAGATGCGCGTTTGGTTATCTATTAGGATTAGGTATACTAAATTGAAATGTTTGTGTTTGAAGATGAATAGTTTTATTTTTTTTTATTGGTTTATAGGTATCAAAAAGGGTTATAAAGAGCTATAAAGAATACAAAATTTACAGACAACGCTCCAGGCCGAATTTTCGGAGGGGCCATTGCAATTATATAGACCTTATTTAAGCTATGTGGCACTAAAATAATAGTTCTACACCCAAATTGAACGTGTGAAATTTATGAATTATATGGCAGTGGTAGTTGTTTTCAGTGGCGCATCCAGAGGTTAAGTCTGGGGTAGTGGTAATATTCAAGACTTTATTTTTGATATTAATTCGTTTTTTAATTACCGGCCATCATGGGCAATTTCTCTCATTGTCCTTTCCCGCATATGAGCCACTGCTTGTTTTTTTAACTCGAAAAGCTTAAAAAAATAGTTTGTAAATTTTAAAAGGGGATAAAATTAAAAGTATATAATTTACATTTATTTTAATGCTTTATCAGAAATAAGAATCGATCTCGAATATTTCACCATACAGAAATTATATGGTACGAAACCGTTGTGGGGACAAGAAGTTTTAATTATTATCTGACAATTTTTCAGTTAGTATATCTGACAATTTTCAGTTAATATCTAACAACTGTCAGTTAATATCTGACAATTTTCAAATAGCATCTGACAATTGTCAGTTAGCACCTGACAATTGTTAGTTATTATTGTTGCCGAACAAAACGAACGTCTTCATATTATCTACACTTTTTTGTATACAGGGTGGTGCAGTTTCGATCAGGATTTTACTAGCCGATAGTTTATCAAAAAATATAGGTAGTTTGTCCGATAAAAATGTCCCAAATTTGTTACCTTTTTAAATATTTTTTTTATTAATATCTAAAAAATGCTTGACCGATTTTAATGAAATTTTCAGTGTGTTGACAACTTTATGAGGTGTCTTTCGGACATGTTACAGTTAATACAGTAATTCCAGAAGCGTGCTCACAGGACACTTTATTTCATTTTCATTACAATAGTTTGAAAAATCAAAAACAAATCTCAAAAATCTCCTTACGAAATATTAAGACCATCCCCGAACCCCAAAGGCGAAAACAAATGCTAGGAGATTTGAAAACGACGTCTGGCCCGAATTAGCACATCACAATTCTGTCTAGGAATTTCGACAGTTACTGTCGTGGCACTTGTCTAGCATACAAGGATATCTCTGGTTTTGATTCCCGACTACGGCAGGCCTTTTTGAATCTCCAAGTAATTGTTTTCACCTTTGGGGTTCGGGGATAAGCTTAATAATTCGTAAGAGGGTTTCTGAGATATGTTTCCGAATTTTCAAATTATTCTAAAACTTATTTCAGATATTATACTGACTTTTCGGATTTTGATTTGTGATCTACGATATATTTTATATTCACAATTTTGATACTCAGGTTTACGTCTCTTAACGTACGCAGATATGGGATTAGTATGCATAAACGCATTTCTCATATACACCGATGCTGTAAATCCAGATAGCCCAGGACGTTCTAAGGACGTCCATTACCCTGTCTATTCTGGATGTTTTAAATATGTCCAGTTTAGTAAATCCTCGGGACGTCCAGAAATAAATATCCTTAGAACGTCCATTCTACGTACTTTATTATATTTCCACAGATTCACAGTCGCATTGTATTATTATTTGGATATATTATATAAACAAAATATATGAAATAATAGAATTATTAAAGATGACATTGTCCAATATTAAATTGAATAAAGGCAAATAAGACAAAAAACATGAAGGACATGAAAGTTCATTGCAAACTAAGTATTATTTATTAGATTCAAGCACTGAAATACGCTCAGGGCTCAGTGATTTATTAAAAAAAAAAAGAAAAACATGGGACTGGTGATCAACGTTCATGATTCAATGGTTTGTACATATACGAGTACAAGTTCTGAGGAGTTGGTTCTGTACTATTTTTATCTCTATGAGAAAGGTGGGAGTTTTCCAGTGAATACTACAAAGCTAAAAAATTAGTGAATTCATAAGGCCTAGCAGGGCATACTTAACAAATATTATATGCGTGCTAAACGGCAATGGCAATCTGTTCCGAGTTTTCATTACGAAGAAGGAAATGAATAATTCGAATACAGATTAGATTTTTATATTGTTACCAATTATTTTGAACAAACAAATAAATTATTTTCAGGTTCAGCCGAGACGGCAAATATGGCCAAATCAAGAAAAGAAACTGAACTTGTCAATCCAGGCATGGTTAAAAAGGGCAAAGGAGAGGAAAAAGTTTTAATAATTATTCATAGGTTATTTGCTTCAAAATAAAAGATTTTGAAATTATCAATATTTTCCTCAAACATCCTGTATTTCATGTCCATTCGAAAACCTGGGAAGAGGTATTTGAAGATTTGAGATCGAGTCTGAACGATGACTTCTGGCTCGAACTAGCAGATCAAACTTCTGTCTAGGAATCTCGACAGTCACTATCGTGGATGGTCTAATGGAAGTGGCACATTTCTTGAATACAATTGAGGAGCAGACCTGCAAAACGCAGTTTGTCCAAAATTTCAGTTTTTTAACTATAGATGGCGATACAATATTGAATTGAATAGCTATCGTTTCATAAAATCTTGGATGTACAAATCCCATTATATCCTGCTTAAAATGTATTGTGAAAACCACTTGGACATGCAAAATGCATTTAGTCCATCAAGATCTCCCAAGCACCAGTTTTTTGCCATTCCTGAAAATTTACAATTTCGGACAAACTGCGTTTTGCATGTCTGCTCCTCAATTATGTCTGGGTTCTATTCCCGACTACGGCAGGCTTTTTTCAAATCTCCAAGTATTTGTTTTTACTTTTGGGGTTCGGGGATAGTCTTAATAATTCGTAAGGGGATTTATAAGACTTGTTTCCGAATTTTCAAATTATTCTACTACTTATTTCAGATATTTCTAAATTTTCGGATTTCGATTTGAGATCTATGATTAAATTCACAATTTTCAATTAATTTTTGTTGAAAAGTACAATTTAGACATTGGAAGGAAAGTAATATTATAAAATATAAAGTCATTCGGAGACGAATTCGGAGACATTGCCCAAGGAGTAAAATAATTACCTACTTTAGCAGTTTTTGGTCATTTCATGAAACTACAGTGTTACTATTAAACACGTCATATTTTTTTATAATTATGCATTGCAGTGGGAAGGTTTGGTATATCTAAGGGTTGCGACATACGATGTATTCTATCTACAATACGTAAAATCGTGAATAAAGGAGTAGGTACATTTAAATACTTTATGTCGAACACAATAAAAATATTATTTAAAAATCGCTTTTACATTTTTTCATATTGACAGGCTTGGCGACTACTATTTCGAATAAAAATAACGTCCAAGATGCAAGACTATGTCGCTACACCCTTAGATATTCGAAACCTTCCCACTGGCAGCTATTGTTTGACAGGTCGTTGGAATGCCTAAAGGCGGGTACAGATCTGAGCACGAACGCGTATGAGGCAAGCCGAGGCCGAACCGAATGCCTCGTGCGGTGCATTTTGTACACACGAATAGTAGACGCACGAGGAACTGTTCGCTACTGATCCAGTGAATTCGCGAGCACGGAGCCGTACACCCAGAACACTCGTATAATTAAAACAAAAGTGGAGGTCTAGTAAATGAGTGCCTGTTTTATTATTTTGTCTTGCTCTCCATAAAATATCTCGCTGATTATATACACCCAGGAGAAACAAAACCTGTTCCTGGCTCCACTTTATGCAAAATAAACATTCGGTACAAATTCCTCGTCCAGAATGAGCACGTACTGCGCATTGCCTCCCTTTGATGTACCGCCAACAAACGGATCGGAGCGAGGCCGCACGGTGCAATTTGCCGCGCCTCGAAAGCTCATCCACATCTGCATGCTCATGCGTCCTCGGCTTGCCTCATACGCGTACGTGCTCAGATCTGTACCCGCCTTAATAGGTAGAATTATTACCAGAGTTGAATACATGACACTGGCGTAGCATGGCGTCGATACAAGGGGATGCCCACCAAACATTAAATAGCCGGGATATTGCTGGCCTTTTGCTGTAATTAAAGGAAAAAATGAATGCGATGATTAAAAGATAAAAGCCTACTTTATTGGCCTTTCGATAGTGCAAGTAGTTAAATGCCCGATATCAATTTTTTAACATAATACTTTTGTATTTTAGGTCATCCTTAACATGTTTTATTCAGTTGTCGATCTGTCTGTCGATGTGCTCTCTGTAACAAATGCCTATAACTAAAAAAGATATTTTAACGAAATTTGTTAGGGATGGAGAAAATGGGGATAGCTTTTATAAAATTACGCATTTTGTTACAAAGCATGGCTTGTGGGGTATTTAATTAAAATAAACTTGGTGAAGGTTTAAAAAATATATATTTCCCTGGGACGCACTAATGGGGTTAAAAATAGACGATGGGATGATAATATAAATTAGATATTTTTATTCACCTTTCTACATAAGTTTAGCTACTTACATGTGTATATTATGGTCTTAGCGATCACATATTACATTTCTTCTTGTCTATCTAAAAATAAGGTCTCAATATGTAATGTTTAGTGGTGAAGTATCTCATACAATCCTTGCCAGCTCTGGGGTACCTCAGGACTCCAATTTAGGCCCTCTACTTTTCTTAATATTTAATAATGATCTCCCTCTTCGTACTATATTAGACTGCCTCATGTACGCATATGATTTTAAAGTTATTAAGAAAATATCCACCCTAGATGACTATCTAGACCTTCAGAATAACTCGGGCTCAATTTCGAATTGGTCATTAGAAAATAAATTACTTTTTAATCTTTCCAAATGCAATAAGTAATTACATTCAGTAAAATTAGTAATCCTCAAAATTGCATGAGCATATCCATACAACTAATAAAGAAGATAACAAGTTTTTAGGATTTCAGAATCGCACCACGAACTTGCGACTTTACAGACACATACTCAATGAAAAATTTACTTTTTTCTCTCGTATGGGACTCTACACAACAAAATTTAAAACCAATTTTGAAAATTATTGAAAATAAATTTATCAA